ATGGGACTTACAGAAAGGAAAGTAACTGATATTTATTGAACACCTACCACGGATCATGCACTGTGGTTTATTCTTTCATTTAATCTATCTCATCTTTAACCCCACTGTAAAAATAAGGCAAAAGAGACCGAAGCTTTTTCCCCAGTGGAAGAATCTCCATCAAGAATCTAGAAAATATTTACTGAGCACTTATGCCATGGCAATCATTTCTTTTGTTTGTAGTGAATAAGATAGATTCTCTCTCGGCACAAGCTTCCAGAAAATATTTGGAGGTGAAGTGACATAATGGAGTATAGGAAGAAAAACAACAGCATTGCGGGGCTACGATAGGGTTAAGATAGTAGCAGTAGCTATGCAAAGAGTGATGCTGACAGGCTAGAGATAACAGACTGAAACGTAAAGGAGGGGTCAAACTACAGATAAAACAGTATCTTCAACACAGAGGCAATATTTAATTCTGAACGAAGTTTCCTAGGGAAAAAGTATAGAGGATAAACATGATTAAGGACAGAAAAGTCTAATGGAGGAGAAAATTCAAAAAAAGCTAGAGCTGACTCATGAGGTAGAAAGGGAATCACAGGCATTTGGAGTTAGAGAACTCTAAAGAAAAACATTTCCAGGAAGAAGTAATCACTAATAATCCTGCTGATAAGTAAAATACAGAGAACTGACCTCAAGTTTTGGCAAAAACGGCAAAAAGTGGCCTTTCATTCAACACATATTTATGGAGTACCAACTGTGTGCTAAATGTTGCTTGAGGGACAAGGGACACACCAAGGAACAGAGTCCTAGCTCCATGGATTAACATTCTAGTGGAGGACAAGCACAGAGTTACATGGTAGTGTATTAGCTGGTTACAAGCACTTTATAGAAAGTTAAAGCAGGGAAGCATAGCTAGTCAGTAACTCACACTTGCATCTAGCACTGGGGAGGCTGAGATCGGAGTGTGAATTTGAGGCCTATGGCAACATAAAAAGCCAGATAAGTTTGAAGATCAGGAAAAAATACACGGCTAAAGATACAAATTTGTGATTTGCCAAGTGCAGCTGGTGTTTAAATGCATGATTAGTTGAGATCACTAAGTGAGGTTAGAGAAAAGTTGTCCAAGGGATGATGCACTGGATACCCCAGACTGCTGAGCTGAAAAGGAACCAGCACTAGGAGGAAAACCTAGTGACCTGAAGGTCTGGGAAGGCCAAGGGCTGATGGGTGGAGATGACAGAGAACCCATCCCTGATGTAGCTGTATAACTACTGGGGACAGCTGTACTGGTACTTTAAATGGAGTAGTATGAACTCAAGAGTGGAAGAGAAAAGGAATAGGAATGTAAGAACATCATAACTCTTTTGAGAAAGCCTGAAGAACAAAACCAGATCAATGAGGCAGTGTATGAAGAGCAAGTGGCTGTGAGACTTTCATAAGACAACAGCTTTCTTGTGTGCTAAAGGGAACGTTTAGTACAGAGAACAAAACTGATGATTTGGGAGGGGAAAATAGCCCAGTGATGCCTTTAACACACCAGTCTGAGATCTGCTGAGGTAGCCTGGTCTTGTTGGGCACCAGGGCCAGCCTGCTTGCACTGCATGGAGCCTGCAGAGGTGGGAAGCCCATGCAAGTTGTCTCTTGATGGCTTCTATTTATTCAGTGAAATAGTAGTCAAGGTCATTAGTGCAGAGGAATATTCCAGGAGATGTTTGAAGTCTGAGAAGAGACGAACAGTTGTCTAGAAGAGTGGGAGGATGAATGGATGAGGATAATAAATTCCCTGGCAGGACCCAAGGCCCACTTGACATTAACGTGGCAGGGTTTCTTCTACCACACTGTGTACACGTAGTTATGGAGTCAGATGCCAGAGAGAACTACGACTGAATATTTGTCAGGACAAGGAAAAGAGACAGGTATTTAATGTTCAAGGAATTCATTCATCCCACCCCCACCCCCAATGTTTAGAGGAAGAAGCATCCTTTCAGGTTCAGGAGGTATCCTGGGGGAGAGAATGGCTCATTTACAGCATGGAAGGGAAGCAGCATGGAAGGAGGCTGAGGATGTAGGGGATCTGGCTACTCCTGTAAGAGCTGTGGCTGACTGGAGTGGGTCAGGCAAGGGGGGAGTAGAAAATAGGCTGAACAGTAGATCGGTGCTAGAGTTGCAGAAAGGCTGAAGGCAAGCTTGCACATGGATGCATATAGTGTGTGTGCTTTGAAGATGACAGAACATGTATTTTAATCAATAAAGACAACCCAGTTAAGAGGGAAAAAACTGACAAAAAAGAGAAAGGGGGCTGCCTGGAGAGATGACTGCTTTTGCAGAGGACCTGGGTTTGATTCCCAGCACCCACACGATGGCTAACAATTGTCCATAACTCCAGTTCCAGAGGATCTGACGCCCTCTTCTGACCTTACACACATGCAGTCAATACACTCATACACATAAAAGAGAGAAATGGATACATTAAATATGGGGATGCCAGTAAAAGCAAAGACCTTGGGGGCTGGAGAGATGGGTCAGCCGTTAAGAGCACTGACTGCTCTTGCAGAGGACCCAGGTTTGGTTCCCAGCACCCACACGGCAACTAACAACCATCTGTAACTCCAGTTCTGGGAGATCCAACACTCTTGTTCTGACCTCTGTGGGCACTGCACAACACAGGTACACCTACCTACCTACATGCAGGCAATATACTCATACACATAAAATAACAGTAATTTTTTTTTATTTTAAAGGCAGGGGCTGGAGAAATGGCTCAACGCTTATGAGCACTGACTGCTCTTGCGGAGAACCTGGGTTCAACTCCTAGCACCCACATGGTGGCTAACAACCATCCATAACTCCAGTTCCAGGGGATCTGATGCCCTCTTCTGACCTTCACAGGCATTGCACAATATCGGTGCACTTACACACACGCAGGCAATACACTCATACACATAAAATAAAGTAAAATGCAAGGACTTTGGAAAGGTCCGAAGACAATGGGTCAAAGGCATAGTGGGAAGAGGAGTCTTTGAGAAAACACAGTTGAAAACAGCAAGGATGGCTGCAGGAACAAAGGTTGGTGGGCCTGTAAAAGAGATAGTCTGAATGCATTTACTTTCTCTCTTCAACTGTGAGGTGAGAATTGGTAATATCAGTAATGAAAGAGGAGTGAGAACAGCTATGAAGTCAGAAAAATAAATCCACTAGGAATTATGGCAGGTTTGTTTAGCAGTATTTAGTGCTCACCTTAGATCTGTGGCCATAATTCTGAGGCCATTCAACACAGCTGTATAACTTGTCCCCATCAAGCTTTGCTGCTTAGCTGCAGGTGTCAGGTAGCTTAACAAGGACTGAGGTCTTTTCCAGGTGACTGTGACTGAAGTCAAGGGGTTAGGACGCCTGTACTGCAAATGCTAGTCTGTGAAATCTATGCTTCATAAAGGAAGCAAACATGTCGAAGGAGGAACAGGTAATGAGAAGTGGTTAGAAAGCATCAGGATGTCTGGATGAAGGGGGGAACTGACAGAGGTGAAAGTTCTGGGATCAATGAGCTCACAAGGTAGAAGATGGTAACCTGAGACGTAGGATTGTGGAATGCCATTTCAGAGATGGTGCCTTACCTTCTCCATCCTTAAAAGCAGGCCTGGGGTGTAGCTCAGTGGTAGAGCCACTTGCCTAGCCCATGTGAAGCTCTGGCTTTGGTGTCATCTAACTTGAGTATCATAACTGAGCAACATACAATGAGTGCCCTATATTATCTTATAGGTTAAGTGTTTCTTTCCTGAAATGCTTGAGACTAATAATCTTTGGATTTGGAATATCTGCATATATAATAAGATATCTTGGGATGGGATATATCCTACTTAGCATTGACTATCAACTTGACATGGCTGAGAATCACCTGAGAAGTCTCAATTGAGTAATTTTTTTTTGTCTTTTTGAGACAGAGTCTTCCTGTAGTCCCAGCTGGCCTGGAACTTGCTATGTAAACCAGGCTGGCCTTGCCTTGATCTTACAGAGATCCATCTGCCTCTGTCTCCAGAGTGCTGAGATTAAAGGGGAAGGCTATCACGCTATCATGCCTGGCAAGTAGGTTTTTGTTTTTGTTTTTTTTTCTTTAAATCAGGCTCACCTGTGGACATGTCTGTAAGGGACTGTCTTAATTCACGTGGGAGGGCCCAGCCCACTGTGTGCTGTACCATTTCCTGGGCAGGTGGTCCTGGCCTGTATAAGAAAGCTGTGGCTGTGTAAGAAAGCATGAGGCTGTGAGTGAGTCAGAATGAGCCAGCATACGGCCTTCCTCCATGGCTTCTGTTTCGTTCCTGTCCTGACTTCCCTCAATGATGGACTGTGTGACCTGGAAGTGTAAGGTACATAAACTTTTTCCTCCCCCAGGTTACTTTTGGTCAGAGTGTTTTTATCACAGCAACAGAAATTTAACTAGAACAACATCCACAGGCAAACACAAAATTCATTTGTTTCACATACAACTTAGAGGGGAAGGAATTTCATACATTATTTTGAGTACATCTGCACTTTGATTTGACCTGCCACATGAGGTTAAGTGTGGAATTTTCCATCTGTGACATTATGTCTGCACTCAAAAAGTTTTGAACTTTGGATTTTCAGATTATAGGTACTTAATCTGTTTAGAGAAACACTACAGTTTATGGGGAAAATCTATAAAAATTTTTTTAACATCAAATATGAGGGATATACCTGGCCTTAATAATTCACATAATTTTTAATATATCAAGATTAACAAGAAAGTATTCATTCCATAATTAAGTGGAAATTTTCCAGTGAATTCTATCACCAGTGCTTTAAAGATGAAGAGGAATTCTTTGAGAATGTATGCAAAAAAAGAATTAAAGGCATATATATATAT